GGGGGGGGGGGCATTAAACATCTAGGGGAAACGAATCGATTAGTGGTATAGCATTAAATTAGCACTTCTATTGGTTTGGGCCATTTTGGGCCACTACACTTTGCTATCACTACCCCTGGCACGACACACGGCCGCACCAGAAGCATCAGCACCAGTAGTGGGGCTTGTACTCTAAGAGATGACAAACTCTCAGGACGAGTTGGAACCCTTGCGCATCCAGAACGACTTTGACGCTTCCACGACCACAGGCCATGACCACGACGAACGCTGCCACTGTTGGAGCTGATGCTTCTGATGTAACCGTGCATCGTGAAAAAGGTACTGGTACAAAAAGGTGTAGTGGCCCAACCGTGTGGTTTGGCTAATGTTATGCCAATACTGGAACAATGGTTGTCAAGACTGAAGCTCCTGTATAGATAGAAATTAATAGCCAAGCCCATCTTGGCCCGTGGCGAAGAGCGACCACACGGAGACGTATACTGCGGTTCGCAACCTGCACACGTGTCAGTGCACTGAGCGAGGCTTAAAGACAAGTTTAGGGTGCAAAGGCTCCAATTAGTTAGTTCAAGCTTCAGAAGCCTTCGTAGTGCTCCGAGGCTGAGCATTTCTGCTGTTCAAAAGACCAAAGACTGTTCTTGCTTGCTTTTCATTGCAGGAGAACAAGATTGCATGAATGAACACCCCAGGCCGAGTTCCAGGCGTCCATGGGATCGCATCCTCCACTTGCGGCGGTCGGCCCGCATGAACTGAGGGTTTGTTCAGTTCAGGGTTTAGGGATTAGCGCGAGAAGCTCTGAGATCGTACTGGGCTGTGAGGGTTAAGGCTGTGTGTGGTTTTAGGAAAAACTCGAAGCTCTGGACTAGATCGTAGACAGGTCAAGTGTTGAAGGCCTGCAGAGAGATCATACCATAGCTTCGGCGAAGTGACCTCGAGCTTAGGCTGCTAGGCTTTTGCCGGCACCAGCGGCCTCGCTCCGCCTCCATGCGAATGGCATTGGCGGAAGAGGACATGCTGAGGATGACAAGCTGCGCTGCAGTGGCTGCAGCGATGACCCAGTACCTTGCAATCTGAGGCAGGCGATTTTAAAACAGAAACCGGAGCGAGCGGTCAAATGAACCTCTAGAAGATGAGGATGCAAGAGCCAGCTAGATCTTTGAGACTCATACTCCTGTGTACTCACACGCACGCCAACCGGTCAACACCCAAGATATCATACCGATGTAAGGAAACCAAAACAACTTAAAGCCACTGTACAGTAAGAAGAACAGGCCCAAAAATCCCCGGAACAACCCTAAACCCTAACCTGCATCTGAGAACCCTAAACCCTAAACCCTAAAGCCCTGAACCCTAAACCCTAACTCTGCATCTGAGTGACATGCTCGAGCATACATCCACGATGCCCGGAGCCGCATGGCCGCCGCGAAAGAGGATGGAGCAAACCAAGACCAGCCACATCAAGAGGAAGCCTCCGTTTAGGGTTTTAGGGGTTTAGGGTTTAGGGGTTTAGGGGTTAGGGGTTTAGGGGCTTAGCGGCTTAGGGTTTACTATCAAACCATGCATGTATAGAGGCAGGTCTTGAATGCAGTGTGGTGTGTTCGACGAAAAACCTGGGAAGTTTGACGTGCGAAGTGCCAAAGTGGTTTACTGTCCTTCACCGTTCAGAGCTCTAGACCTGGAAAGTGCTCCGTTTGGAATTCATGGTTGGGGAATTGGAATCATTGGCCGTCCTAAGACGGTAGGATTCGGGGTTCAAGTTGCCTGACTTCTTTCACCACCTTGCTTCGGTAAACCTGAGTTCTCAGGCCACAGCTATAGGCCGAACTCCAAGAAATTACAAAGGGAGTGTCAGGTATCCGGCACAAGATCTTCTCCATCGACAGTATTTAAGATGGCGCTGTACCAGTTTCCTTGTTAAGGCTCTGTTTCGATGGTGCTGTACCTAAGTGCCGCAATCTGCCACACCAAGCTGTATGACTCCATGTTGGACTACGACATAAGATAGGAAATACTCTGCCTACTTGCAGTGCCTACTTGCAGTATAAGAAGGTACGTTAGGGCATGCCAATCACCTGTTGCCAACCCTGAACCCTGACCCATCAACTCTCAACCGTAAGCCCTAAGCGATAATTCATAGCAAGCTACCGTGTGTTGTACTGTATCTTAAAACCAGCAGGTCGCCGAGGTACATGTCTAAACGTGAGTACATACGTATGTAGACAGATGTGTCTGTACTCCTTACAAATATGTCTGTATACGTAAATAGCATCTACAACTATCTATACACAGTGGGAGCCAGATAGAGAGCACGAGACAAAGAAAGAAGGTCTGTGCATGCGTGCGTGCTGCGTTGCATACTCCTATAAAGGAACGAACAGACACATGCACACAAAACACAAGTTAAGTCTGGAGGCAAACAATCAGAGACTTCTCAAGTCGCATCCAACCACAAACGAGGAGATACAACTTGGTTTCAGATATATCTCTACATCGAAACAGCCTCAAATGCACTTCGAAGCCAAAACATGAATTCTCTCCCTCTATATATATATATAGATAGATAGATAGATAGATAGATAGATAGATACATAGATAGATAGATAGATAGATAGATAGATGGATGGATGGATAGATAGATAGATATATATGTGTATGTATATATATATACTGTGTCTATACACAAATTTTCTGCTTATGTGACTTATGTGCTTACTTCTTTGCTTGCGTGGGCATGCACCTCTCTCTGTCTGTCTGTCTGTCTGTCCGTCTGTCTATCTGTCTGTCCAACGGTCTGTCTGTCTGCCTGGCTGGCTGTCTGTCTATCTGTCTGTCTGTCTCTGTCTCTGTCTATCTGTCTTGCTCTCTCTCTCTCTCTCTCGATCTCTCTCCCGGGCATAGTGGCAGGTCTCTGTCTTGCTCTCGCGCTCTCTCTCTACGCATACTCTCTCCACTCTCTCGCTCTCTCTCTCTCTCTCTCTCTCTCTCTCTCTCTCTCTCGTTTATGCATATCTCTCTGGCTCTCTCTCCCTCCCTCTCTCTGTCCCGCTCGTGCTATGTATACATGCATCCACACGCACACACACACACAGCGGCGAGTCCCAGCCTATGAGCTTGCTTCGCGGGTACTGGGGCTCCGAAAACTGGCTCTGCGCACTCTGCTGGGTCTGTGCTGTGTCCAGAGACGGCTCCCGGGTCATCTTTGCGGCGATGATCTGACCTTTCAGGTGCGACGGTGAAGGGCTTAGGGGGTGTCTGGGGTGGTGAAGCGGCAAAGGGGTCATGAGCTTGAAGAATCAGGTGGCGATGGCTGCAGGAACAATGGTCAAGAATGTGATGAGTAGCAGTAGTAGTAGTAGTAGTAGTAGTCGTCGTCGACGTAGTAGTAGTAATAGTAGTAGTAGTAGTAGTAGTAGTAGCAGCAGCAGTAGTAGTAGGCGCAGTAGTAGTAGGCGCAGTAGTAGTAGTAGTAGTAGTAGTAGTAGCAGTTGCAGTTGCAGTAGTGGTAGTTGTTGTGGCATTTGGGGCAGTCGTCGTAGTAAAGGTAGTGACGCAGTAAAGTTGCAGTATAGCAGCAGTAGGACCAGACAGCAAGGACCTCGACTTGAAGTGGGTGAAATCTCCCCCCCATACCTGGAATGGAACCCTCAAAACTTTAGGAGCCTTGGGCTCAAAAGTTTTTAGCTGGCGACCCTTGAAGCTAGATCCTTCTGTCCCCTACTCCCATGCGCCTTCGGGATCCTTCTCTAGGGAGTCCTGAAGATCCAGCTTGATCTGCCCTGAGAGTGGCAGAAGTGAGGTTGTCGCGGAGGCTGCTAGCTGGTAGCTTCACAAAGTCGTCCATAACCTCCCCTTCGCCGCTGCGCCACTCCCGACAGTCCCACCTCCTTCTGAAGGAACCTATGTGGAACCAGGTGCCCAAAGCCACGACAACCCAACACGGATCCCGGAACATCGAGCACGCTCACAGACAGCCCCTCGAAACTGAAACTCGTCGAACTAAGGTTTCTGCCGAAACCCACGATCATCATGGCGATTGTAGTCAGAATAATGGCGCCGAAGCACTCAGAGTATTGATCAAAAGCTGCTACTGACAACAGCACAGTTCCTCCCCATGATGACCATCATCACAAGCGAAACTAAGAGCAACACAGACGAAGACAACCACAATCGCAGCGACGATGACTGCGACCAGGCGGAAAAGAACCGTCCGACGAAGCCACCCAGAAGTCTAGGGCCTAGACCCCGACATCAAAAACCCAACCCCAAACTCCTGAAACGACGACTTGGGGATTCCTGGTCCCCAACCCCAGACATCCTACAGAGCTCTCAAAACTGAAACAACTCGAAGCCCTGCGAATCTATGCCGCATATGCCGGTACCGGGTTCGGGGTTTAGAGTAAACTTAGGGCCCATGTCATCCCATGGCCCTGGGGTGCCTGCGTCGACTTCGGTGCGATGGCCGACGACGGCCGGGGGCAGCGAAGCTGCGGGGTCCTCCCGGCAAGCAGGTTGGGTCTTGGGGATTTCGGGGCCCATCGGGTTGGAAATTCAGGGTTCGGGTCGAAATCATCATTTCGCGAAGCAAGTCTCAAACAGCATGAATCTTCGTCACTATGATCAGCAGCATCAGCAAGGAGGCACGGAATAACGGCTTTCGACCAGGAATGCCAATAGATCAAACCGCTGATGATGGCACTGGTGGAAATAGTATTCACCCAGAGAACCCAATACCCCTTAATTCAGGAATATACCTTAAATCATAATATTAAGGCCCCTATAATATAAGGTATATTCCCTAATTAAGGGGTATTGGGTCCTCTGGGCAGGCCTCACGGAGTTGAAGCCTGGAGCTTTCAAGCAGATGTTGTGGGCTTTCCTTCTGCTTTGGACCCGTTGAGAACCACTACCTCGACTGTACCATGGCTCCTCGAACTCTGCGTAGCGCTTGCTCAGTCCCACGAACCTTGACAGGTATAGCCACACAAGCGCGATTAACGCATGACGAGGATAACAGCAATATACGAGCTGAGGAGAGGGGGGAATCGTCAGGCATTATGGGAGAGCCATGTTGTGCAATATTCAGGCTTGAAGTCGTTAACGGTGTCCTGATGTGAAGAGGCGAGTGTTGCCAATTCGACCATTACTATCAGTGTGTTCAACACATTCTGGGTTTCGTGTGTCGGGTGCAGAGTGCTGCACGAACACACATGCAAGCACTCGCAATCACGCAATCACATACGCACCCACACAGACACACAGAGAGCCTTTCGTGAAGGGAGCGTGAAGATGTGCACTCGCAGCTGTCTACATTAAGGCTTTAGGGTTTTAGGATCGATACTTTGCAACTTTACGGCTTTTCGCATAGTAGTCTGGGGATCTGTTTGTCAAACGCGTATTATTACACTTACACATACATATACACATACATGCACAGTCCATATACATACACATCCATCCATCCATCCATCCCTCCGTCCGTCCGTCCGTCCACTTATCCATTCATCCATCCATGCATGCAGTGAACAAACACAACATCATCTTAGAATACATATTATGTTTCAGCGTTTGTTCCACTAGCTTCGGAGGTATTTCCATTGCGACTGGTATGTGCGACAGCCTGGATAAGACAGATGATGTGCTGAAGTCCACTACAGGCCAGGGAAAGAGTGTTGAACTTTGTGACCACGTGGGGAATCCCCTGTTTAGGCTTCAGGTTCAGGCTCCAGCCTAGATTACATCGCGCCCCCCATAAACCCTAAACTGTAGTGTATCCTGGAAGGACCCATCACTGCCCATCAAGGTCAGCACGTTGGGGCTGTGCCCTAGACTGCCGGGTCGCTTCAGGCATCGCTCGATGGGGTTCTTGGAGAGTCGGGCATCACCTTGGATCCGAAAGCCCACAGGGTTTGGGCCTAGGTTACGGGCTGAGCACGTCCCAAGAAAGTCACGAAAATGGGTAAACTCTTGATATGAATAGGAGGACTGTCAGCCAGCCGAAGTATCGTCCTCTGCACGGCTTAGACCTGAAATCCGGTGGCTAGGAAGGTTGAAATGCTGCAAATCCAGTGTCGACCGACGATCTTTTGACCGGTGCTGCAAATCCAATGGCGAGTGACGATCTTTTAATCGGTATTCCTAACTCCAACAACACGGGCAGCAACCGCCGCATCAACAGCACGACTGTCTAGTGTTCTAATAAGTTATAACGGTCATGCATCCATAGTTGACATCGTGACAAGTCAAACAAGGAAGCAGCGCCGGCCACCGTTGCAAACCGACAACAACAACGACCATCACAATCAAAACAACACCTACTGCATGGTCTAATTAAGTCTAATTCTGGCAGCAACCACGAGCATTGCCACAGGCAGCCTGCAAATCACCGGAGAAGCAACACCAAGAAAGCACCGGCAGTAACTAAAGCAACCGCGCACTGGACAGGGTCAAGAAACCCTAAAACCCTAAACCCTAAAACCCCAATCCCTAAACCTTATAACCCTAAATCCCTAAACTCTACAACCCTAAACCCGAAACGCTTGCTGAGGCCTTGGCTGTTCGGTTTCAACCCACGGACTTCTCCCGCGCGCTCCTTCCGTAACGTCTCCAGGGCCTTCCAAGCTCGCTTCCGGAGAGGGTGGAAACCCTAAACCCTAAACCAAACACTCCAAACCGTAAACCCTAAACCAAAAACCCTAAACCCTAAACCAAAAACTCTAAACCCTAAACCCTAAACCAACAAACCCTAAGCTGTAAACCAACAACTCTAAACCCTAAACTCTGTAGGGCAGGTTTCGGATTTGAGGAATGCGGGTGAAGGGCTTAAGCCTTCGGGCTTCTTTAGGGATGAAGAGTTCGAGCTTGCGGTTATCACCGTCAGTCTGCAAGCATGCCGATGGTCACGGAATATCTGGTACTGCAGCCTCTTCGGTCGTTGTCTTGCGCTTAGGGATGTTTCGTGCTTAGGGCTTAGTTTAGGTCCAGGTTTCAGGGGTCCGGCATGTTCCATTTCGCAACATGTCTCTGACGAGTTGCAAGAAACATGCTTGCGAATGGGCAAAGAAGCTCCCCTCCACAGGGAAGTCTGCCAACAGGATGATAAATGCTCGCCCAAGCCGACTACCAGCAAGTCGGACTGAACAACCGCTTCGCTACCGATCTGCCTCACCTTCCCTTGCGGAGACTCGGCCATATTGAAGCCCCAAACCTGGCCCGGAATTGTTTCTAAACCCCACAATCCCCCAAAAAAACCCGCAAAGCCAGGCCTTCTTGAAAGTTTTGAAAACCGAATGGGAGAGGATGGCCACCAACATCCCAAGAATCAACCAGGAGGGCAGCGCGAAGTTCAGAAAGCTACCGACCTTCCGCAGCCGAGGACCGGGTCTGGGGCCGCGCTTTGCCCCACAAAAAAATGCGCAACGTCAGCAAACTCCTAGGGCTGATGGTATAAATCCTGTATTACCCTAAGGACCCTCAACTAGAGGAATTAGGGTATATTCCTATATATCTCCTGCAATACCCATAATAAGTTTAAGGAATATACCTTAATTCCTATAGTCTAGGGTCCTTAAGGTACTGCAGGATTTATATCATCAACAGTAGTACTGCCAACTGTCGGCTTTGTGCCAAGAAGCCATGGCTCCCACCAGCAAGTTCGGGCCCATGATCAACCTGAGTGGTCAGATGAGCCTTTCTTGAGTATTCAACAATACCTATAGTCTCCATTGTAGTTCCTTTTTTTGGTTTAATCAATTCTATATTAAGGATCCCAAAAAGTAACCCCAAAAAGGAACTACAATGGAGACTATAGGTAGCACCGATTCCAGTTTTGAGACATTACCTAATGGATCTTCAAGAAGATTGCGGTTCTTTGACCATCGCATTGAATTAAACTCCATGGACAGAAGCAGAGCGCTAGGCCACAAGTTAACTCCTAAGAACTTGCGGGAGAGAATTTGGCAAAGACCATACCAGTAGCAGACAGTGTTGTTAAAGATTGACCTTTCGAGCCGAACCGGCTGCCACCTTCAGTGCCTTGCTGTATAAAACTTCATGAGTCCAGTATATGTGTCACTTGAATGACAAGCGCGTTCAAAGTTGCGAGCACATGCAGCAAACTCAAGAAGCTTTGTCAACGGTGTGCGAGGTACACGAGCGTCAGCGCACATGCAATGGCGTTGCCAATCATGCTACCTATGCCAAGAATGACAGCCTTCAATGCAGGTTGCTGCCCAAGTGGCACGAGGTCGTAGTCAATCATGGGCTTGAGCCCGGATGGATGCCGCTGGCGGACATTGTAGATCAAAGCGCTGGCGGCACCTCCCAAGGCCGAACAGTTTGGGCAAGGCCAGCACAGTGAGTCTGCTTCGACGGTTTCGATTCACGTTTGCACATGAGGTCGCATCCAAAAAGTCATCGTCTTCTACATTGCACATCCAGGATAGGATGATTGCGTGCCTCCTGCCAGGCAAGGCTGCGAGATCGCGGTGGCTTCATGGACCTGAAAGCCTCATCTCAGCGCACTGAGGACCTACTGAGTTCAGCCAAGGCTGTGCCAGCTTGTTAACAAAATTTAGGGCTTCGGGTAGAGGGTTCCGCCCTGCGAGATGTCGGAGTTAGGCAGTCTGACGCTTGCAGCGCAGGAAGAACAAGATCTTTGAACTGCACCTGCCGGGGGAGGGTGCGTCGGAACAAAGGCTAATATCTGCAAGGCCGGAGAGCAACATAGAAGGAAGCTTAACGCAGTGTGGTCAGCAGAGGAAACAGCCATCAGAATCTTCATCGACGTCCTAGGAGTAGCAGTTTGTGTTCGTCATCCTCGTCATCTCGGCGCAACAAGATGAAGGTTTGTTCGAGTGTGATGCTGACGCATCTGCCGTGTCTTGTGCTCACTGCTGATGCTTTTTGTCCCATTCCCTGATCCTTCTGCCAAGCTTCTGTTCCGTGCCATTACCAAGGCACGAAACGAAGACAAAGCCTTCGCTGTTAGAAAAGACAGCAGAGCAACCAGTTAAATCAAACGGCTATGCTCTTCAAGAGCAGTGTTCTGGTTGTTCTCCCCCCCTTTTCCCCGTCAACCTTGAACCGCGAAGTTCCAATCTTGTTCTCCCTAAACCCTAAACCCCTAAACCCTAAACCCTAAACCCGTCCACTACTTCAGCTATGCGGCCGAGGATGATCATGAGCAGCGGCACATACAGGCCGCCGCCGCCAATCCCGGCGCTTAGAGCTAGGCCTCAGGAAACACCGATTTGATTTGTGCCCCAAGGATTCGTGCCGTTTTTTTTAAATTTGGGATTTAAGGGTTCGGACACATTTCGCGATTTCAGGCGGCTGCGCCTCAAGTCAGCCATCAAAAGAGCCATGAGACCAAACCTTGCTAGGATATCTTTCTTAAGTGCAGCTGTACATGCACACAAAGTGGCACCCTGCCCCATCTCCCCCGAAACCTTTGAAACCCCAAGCCCCACACCCTGTCGCCCAGGAACCGAAGCCCTTTCGTCGGACACCGAACCCTTATAGGGTTTAGGGTTTAGGGTTTAGAGTTTAGGGTTTAGAGTTTAGGGTTTAGGATTTTCCTAGAATCCGCATGGAGCCCATTTAGCGAAAACTCCATGTCAGGCTTGATTAGAGTCAGGTCTGCACTATTCGTAATGATGTCTCTTTATAGTCTCTTCATAAAGATATTTACATACATACCCTGTTCCAATTCTTAATGCCTCGAAACCTTAAACCACTTTTGAGCCCTATGGTAGCCCATATAGCATCCCTTGTAGTAACCCCTATAGCACGGAAGATTTTGTTGCTAAAAACCTACATTTTTCAACGACGTTTTGCTGATAGAAACCCTTCTAGTAAACACTAAACCGCTACATACGGCTGATGGTATAAATCCTGCATTACCCATAATAAGGAATAGACCATAATTCCCATAGTTTAGGGTCCTTCAGGTAATGCAGGATTTGTATCATCAACAGCAACCCTTATAGTATCCCCCCCTAAACCCTAAACCCTAAACCCTCAGTAAGCCTGATCGCACACTGTAAATACCCCAGAGAGTTGCAGCCGAAACACCGCTAATGAGGAAGAAAAGGCACGCCGCGCCAAGATCCGCTCCGACTGGATGGCCTTCGCAGGGTTTAGGGTGTAGGCTTTTAGGGCTTAGGTTTGAAGGGTTTAGGATTTTAGGGCTTTGGAGTTTTAGGGTTTGGGGCTGTCTAAAAGTTTTAGGGTGTTCGTGTGAATAGTGGAGTGCCTTTCTTTTAACGGCCTGAATATTTGGATCCCAATTATAATCCCTTTGCGTCAGTGGACTTGTTCATCCGTGGTCTACATTAAAGTCCGTGTTGCTCCTGGGGTTTGGGATAGAGGGGATGCCACGCGTTTAGGGCATTGAGGTTGATAGTAGGGCCTTAAGGCTTTTTAAGGGCTTTTGTGTTTTTGGGTGCTAGGGCCCTGCAAAAAGGAGCTGGAAGTTCAGATTGACCGGGCTAATGTAGGCATTCAATGGGCAAATCCCCAGTATTCAGCAACGGTTCTGGGTTCGGGCTTGATTTCGTTTATTCAAGGGGCCTTGATGATGGGAACAGAACTTTGGGCTCCTTTACAGTCTGAGTTCAATAAGAAGGAACTGTCTAGGTAATTCTTAACGCTTCTAAACCCTAAACCCCAAACCCTAACCCCTAAACCCCAAACCCTGGCACAGCTGAGAGCAATGAACCAAGGAGCCGAAAAGGGGCTTGTGCACGCACTGAGAAGTGTCGCTGCTGCCTGAGTCTCGAAAGATAGAGGGGCTTTGAGGTCGTAGAAGCCCAGGCAAAGAGGTGACTCTTGGTGGGTTTAGGGGTTTAGGGGCTTTTCGGTTTCAACTAGGGTTTAAGGGAAAGGGTAAGGGTAGAGTGAGCAATGATCTTGCGCTGCTGGTTTTTGCCGATAGGGGGAAGCTTGGCTTGGGCCTTCGAGTCTCGATTTTATGAGCTTGAATTTTTTCGGCAAAGCTGAAACTCCGGACATTGGGTTTAGGGTTTTGCTTCTCTTTGTGGTTCCGGCTGAGAGCTCAGGGTTTGCGCCCAAGGCTTTGGGGCACAACTCGCATTGCGGCATCTCTCACGGCCGTCGGCCCTGCAACTTATCAGTGCATGCACCATTCAACCGCAGTGGCATGAGGCGCAATGCAAGCAAGAAGCTTGTCAACCAGTGTGTCATATTAAGGGGTGTGCAGACAGTCACCCGCGAAACACTTGCAATCCATATATGGCAACATTGACGAGTAAACCGTTAGTGATGCCGATGACGACAACGACGACCATGATGACGGCAACGACGATGGTGATGGTCGTGTTGTTATTGGTGATGATGATGCGATGCCGAGGATGATGGCGATGATGACGGCGATGAGGGTGATGACGAATATGCTGACGGTGATGTTGATGTTGAGACGATGACAAATAATGATGAGACGTTGATGATGATGAAACAGAGATGATGATGATGATGATGATGACAACGATGACACAAGTATTAGCTAATAGTTGGTTCAAGACGCAGGACCCATTCAGTCCGGTGGCAAATTCTCAGCGGGAACTGTTCACACTGTGCATCCGCTGAACAGGCATCCTAGCGGGCACATGGCTGCAGGATTTCGTTGTGGCGCTTAAGATATCAAGCTCCGGGGTGGAGGTGCTTGGTTCTCACTGATGCCTGAAAAATCCTTCGACCCAACTCCTCCCGAAAGCTTAGGCATGCTGACAGCCTTCCGGGCGGACCCAATCCAAACACCCCGAAACCTGCCATCAAGATCCCGCGGAATCTAGAAGTTGGACCGTAAAACCCTCACCTGTAACTGAGAGTTCGTTCGAAAATGACCCAAGGCAGCAGCCGAAGGACTCAGAGACAGGTTTCGGAGAGGAGTCGATCTACTGCACCGGTTACACGAGGCATCTAACGCCACTTCTTAGTGGAGCCAGGTACAAAGTGAACGATGCAAAAGCCCTTAAGACTCAATAATGAGGCTTAACAAGCAAGCGCGGCGCTTGCAGATGGAACTTTTTGGGAGTTTGGCCGATTTTTGGGCTTGTTTGCATCATCACGTTGTCTCTCCACAACTTGGAGCTTCAGAATCTTGCAGTGCCATCAGATGGGAAGCCCCTCTCATATCTTAAATGCCGCCAAACCCCGAAACCCTAAAACCCACTTCAAAACCGACACCCCCTAAACCTCTAAACTAAACCCATACCACCCTACCACCCTAAACCCTAAAACCGTTAATCCCGAAAACCCCCAAACAGTCCTGGCATCTCTCATGCCCGGAGATGCAGACAGCGCTCGGCCCACATCGCCTGGGCCCGTACCAAGCGGAACTCCGGAGTGCTTGGGATTTCGGGTTTAGGGCCTAGGGAGGTGGTAGTAGTAGTAGTAGTAGTAGTAGTAGTACTAGCAGTCGTAGTCGTCGTCGTCGTCGTCGTATTAGTAATAGTAATTAGTAATAGTAGTAGTAGTAGTAGTAGTAGGAGGAGGAGGAGGAGGAGTAGTAGTCGTAGTCGTAGTCGTAGTCGTAGTAGTAGTCGTATTCGTATTCGTCGTCGTCGTCGTCGCAGTCGTATTCGTATTCGTCGTCGTCGTCGTCGTCGTGGTCACGGTCGTCGTCCTAGTCGTCGTGGTCGTCGTCGTAGTCGGCGTAGCAGTAGTAGTAGTAGTAGTCGTCGTCGTAGTAGTAGTAGGAGGAGGGGTAGCAGTCGTAGTCGTAGTCGTATTCGTCGTCGTCGTCGCAGTCGTATTCGTATTTGTCGTCGTCGTCGTCGTCGTCGTCGTGGTCACGGTCGTCGTCCTAGTCGTCGTGGTTGTCGTCGTAGTCGGCGTAGTAGTAGTAGTAGTCGTCGTCGTCGTCGTAGTAGTGGTAGTAGGAGGAGGAGTAGTAGTCGTAGTCGTAGTCGTAGTCGTAGTCGTAGTCGTAGTCGTAGTCGTAGTCGTAGTCGTAGTCGTAGTCGTAGTCGTAGTCGTATTCGTCGTCGTCGTCGTCGTCATCCTAGTCGTCGTGGTCGTCGTCGTAGTCGGCGTCGTCGTCGTAGTAGTAGCAGTAGTAGTAGTAGTAGTAGTAGTAGTAGTAGTAGTATGAGTAGTAGTAGAGTAGGCCTACTACCGCTACAGCTACTGCACGCGGATGAAAAACATCTGCACTGACGCCGGAATGCTCGAAGGCTCCGGAGAAGTTCAGCCACGCCTGCCGCCTCCACTCCTGCAAGGCTTGCGAGGTGGCCAAAAGTGCGAGGCAGAGCTACTGAGCCTGCGCACTCAAAAGAGGAATGGTTGTGTTCCCAGGGACCTCTGGGAAAAAAACATAAAGACTTTGCATGCAGTAATATGGTTATGCTTGAGGAGGCGCTGTTGATGATGACGGTGATGGCGACGATGGTGATGATGCTGGCAACCATGACGGCTATTAAACTGATGCGGGCGGAGAAAAGGCAACTGGCAGCAAGGCAACAAGGCGATGACATTTTCAATGCTGCCGAATGTGAGCATCGTGATCTTGGTGATCAATGCCGAGGCTGATAATCACAAAGCTGAGCATGACGTGGAGATTATGATGAACAGTGGACTGTTCTGGCACCGCTGTCGTCACCACCATCCTCGTCTTTCTTGTCCATCATCGTCAACATCATCATCAACAGCATCAACAGCAACATCATCATTCATTTCAGAACTACTATATGGTTGTTGTCATCGTCATGGTCAGGACGTTCATCATCGCCATCGCCATCACCATCAAGATGATCACGGGTTTCAACACGCTGCCCGCACCTCTTCAGAATAGCAGCCCCCGTCGTGGTGCGTTTGGAATGTTGCGCAGGCCACGCGCCCACCCGAGGAATCATGAACAACCATAACCTGAGAGTGAAGTCAGGGAGCGATACAACAGGACGGATGAATCGCCGGCTTTCCGACTTGGGGTCTGCAGGGTTCAAGTCCACTAGAGCCTTAGGCTCTGTGGCACGGACATCCCTGCCTCAACTCAGTGTCTCTCCATGGGAGCCAGGAGCAAAGCGGCAAGCTTCGGGGATTCCGGATGCCACGGGCTGAAGCAAAAACCTAAAAGCCGGGCTGCCTTGTCACGGAGGCTGCCCAAGGAGAAGCCGGTTGTAATGGGCCTTATTGGGGTTTAGGCTTTAGGGCAGAAGTCGTATTGGTGTGAGACGCTGCTGATGTCAGAACTTTCGCCATAGTCGTGAGTATCAGATTCTCACCTGAATGACGATCAATGTCATGGAGCAATCAACAAAAAGGCAGCAGCCGCTATGAGAAGTCAGCACTGTGGTCGTAAATGCGAGTAATTATCATCCTTCTCCTTGTCATTCTCATTGTCGAGCCGCCAACGCATCAACAATGAAGAGCCACCCTGACCACGCAGCTACCGCAACCAAGACCAGCGCCAGCACCAGCACCACTGCAGCCACCGCTCCCGCCCCCACCACCAGCACGAAACGACTACAACCACCACCATCAAAACGACAACGGCGAAGGCACAAACAAAACTGCCGCCGCCACCATCACCACCAGCCCACCATCGCCGTTCACAACCACAACATCATCAACAGGGTCAAGAACGAGCATAAACAAGAATGATTTGGTGTTGGCTGCTTGCCACTTCCGTCTGAAAACGTGATGCTTGAGACCTCAAACGCGTGCTTCAGGCATCCGTATGCAACGCATTACAACAGCAGCCCTTCAACAGAACTACAACTCATGATCATTGGCGTCGTTGTACATGGACAGTCCCATAACATGTCAGTGGCTGCAGCTCCTCATCCGAAAACGGCTTTCACGATGTCGCCCATTCTTGCAGATGTGGTCACCACCATGATGATGATCGTCGTCGTCATCATCGTCGCCACCATCGTTGTCACTAACCATCATCTTTTTCTGAGTTCTTTCCTGTCAAGCCTACAAACATAGCAATCAACAACTCATCAACCATCAGACATGCTGTTGCTGTTTCCATGCTAGTCAAGACTCTCTGTGCCAGCAGCCGTGCCATCCACGGAGGCATTGTAAACGGGACCAAGAGCCCACGGATCGGCCGTCATCGAGGACGAATTCCAGAAGTGTCCTGTGCAGCTGGGGAGGAAAGCGGTTGAAGAGGTTGGGTTTAGGGTTTAGGCTTTAGGGTTTAGGGTGAGCCCGAAGGATACCGGTGTGGAGGGGTTTGGGTTTGGGGGTTTGGGGTTTGACATGACATGCTTGTGGTACCAGGACTCGCGGTGAAGCTTGCAAGATGCACTCACTCTCGGCGAGCTTTAATGCAAGCAGCCTGGTAAAAAAAATGTGCTGCATCAAATCCGGGTGAGACAGTGATGCCGCAGGCCTGCAAACCTAAGGGCTTTCGAACTAGCACCAAGCACTCGATGTCTCGAGGCATCGCCACTCATAACCACAGCAACCAGACGCTGCAAACCCTGCTTACAGAAACCTGAAGAGCGAACTTCTGCAAGCCCTAACGTCTCGACCCTAAGCCTTTCAACCGAATGCCTCAGGGGGGGTGCGGAGTTTCCGGGTTTAGTAGTTTAGTACCCTAAACCCTAAACCCAAAATCCTACACCGGAACCCTGCTCTAAAACTCAAAAGCGGTGGAAACGAATCTGCAGAGGGCCTCCAGCGCTGGAGCAGGAGGTGCCTTCATGCACCTGGGAGGATGATATCTAGGGAATCTAGGAAATCTAGGGTTTAGGGTTTAGGAGCCGCCAGTAGGGTTTGTGGGACTTAGGGTTTAGGGTTTAGGAACTAGAATTCTAGGACTCAGAGCTAGGATTTGGGAAACAGGGCTTAGAACTTATGGTGAAAGGCTTCGAAATTCAGGGTTTCGGGTGTAGGAATGGGGGTTATTGGGCATGGTTTCGGAAGCGGGACTTGGGAGTTAGATGCCCTGTGGTCTCCGTTTAGGGTTTAGGGCCTAGTGTTTAGGGGCTTCTGATCCCTAAACCCTAAACCCTAAACCGTGGCGTGTTTTTTGAGGAGCTCTGCGCGGTGTCGCGACAGGCGTGAGAAAATACTCGGTGCGTGTGCCTCGCAGTTTGAAAAACTGGCAACACAATGAGTATACTTCGTTGTGCTACTCATGTCTCCCTGGCTACTCCAAGTACTACGTGGGCATTTCTCTCTGTCTTGATGCTGCGCTGTCCTTGTTCTCCCAATCGGTAGTTTTGAAAAGCCGCCATGTTCATGAGGACCGTGTGTTTTTCAGCTTATCCTGATTATTGCTAGCACCATGTGGGTTCTTGGTCTTGCTGCTACTTTCTCCCACTGTTGGAGAAACGTCGTATTGTCGCTAGTACGATGTGTCTCCGAAACATGCTCGCGCCTGGCAGAAGCCCTCAAACTCCAAACCCGGAAACTCTAAACCACTCCCTAAACCCTAAACCGTAGCATCCGTCCAGGCTGCATGCACTCCGCAAGCATTCGGGACCTGCGAAAGGTTACCTTGGCCGCTTCGGGTTCACAGGCCAGTGTCATCAACTGTGGGCAGTTGTTGGCGCAACAAGTCTTCTGTGGTGATTTTCGCAGTGCCCTCCCATGCTCCACCCAGATGCTGAATCATGACATCGCCCATGACCAAGAGCCGGCCTGGACCCTCTTTTCAGATCGACAGCAACGTACCATGACCATGTGACTGGTGCAGTGGACTGTTAGTCGAGCCCACGATCACGACTTTCTGGGGACCGGAAATCAGTGTTAAACAGCGGGTGGTCCGGGTAATCTCCCTCTCTGGTACTCTCCCTCTCTCTGACTGCTTGATTTGGTGCAGGATTTGTGCACTCAACAGTATTGACGTCTTGCTGACGTCGGAATGGCCAAGAAGCGCGAGCCGCATTCAGCATCCAAGCCGCCTAAGGCGTATGAAACAACCTTGGCATGGATGGTGCAGAGATTGCGGACATGTCAGATTGGGCGACTGTCGTTTCGCTGTCGTTACATGTGTACTGCCATGCATCCAACACAAGTGCTTGAACGACTCAAAACATGCTACTGCCAGGATTTCTATAGCACTCGAAGGTTTACAACAATATACCCCACAATCTATTCTAAGTATTGAGGCAACTACATTAAGTCGTTAGTAAACCCTCCCTTAAAAAACCGTAAAAAAAGGAACCCTGACACGGGTTAAGGCCCGTACTTGGAGGTTCATGGGTAGTTGCAAGTGGGGTTATGATTCCCTAATCTGGATGATAAGTACAGTCACTCCACTTATATCTAACCCACAAATAACTATCCATGAACCTCCAGGTCAGAGCGCTTCTATAGCCCTTGAAGGAACCTTTATAGATCCCCCTAAAGGAACCCTTTTAAAGGAACCCTACACAACATTGGCAAGGCCCCTCGAGCCGATCCAACGCTGGGGTCTCGACTTGAATGCCAGAGCTGACGGCGGAGATGTTCACAGAGCCCTCCACAGAGAGGCTGCCGCCATAGCCTGCTTGGAGGCTCATGGGTAGTTGTATACGGGATCTTTTAAACGGGCTCCATTTAAGGGATCTGTAGGGGTTCCTTTTAAGGGCTATGAAAGGGCTCTACTTGGAGGTTCATGGGTAGTTGTATAAGTGGGCTAGATATAAGTGGAGTATCCATAAGTATAACCCGTAAATTAGGAGCTTTTAACCATACTTATAACTACCCATGAACCACCGGTGGGTGGTCAGAAGATGTGCATTTCAAACCTTCAGGGATATATGGGGCACAGTCCGTGTCCAAGGGGTCAGTCGTAGCAGACGAGATGCATGTCAAGTCGTGGGACGAACAAACCGACCTCCACCCCCAACATAATCACATCTTGTGCTAGCCAGCACCTGAACCAACAGTTCAAAGGTAATGAGGCTCGCTATGCTATTCGGCATCAGGCTGGCAAGGCAACAGATGATAAAACTGATTGCGCCTCACGAACCATGTTCAGTGCCACGCGACACTCAGGTCTCAGGGATGTTCTGAACGCCAGAATCTTATCCGATGCAGGGGCCTCGATACTTTGATTGGGTTTGGAGTACGCTATACTATAGCCATAACGAGGAGCCTTCCGGCATAAGCTTGGTGAGCATACTCTCAGGCCCTAGCTTACATCCCTTTTAAAGCTTTCAGAGCCGAACCCCCAAAGAGAACATGCTACGGATAAAAAGGGTTTAGGGCTCAGGCTTTACGGAAGCCCGCGTTGCCTGGGTAGGCCTCAAAGATCCCAGCATGAAGCAAGGGCTCTGCAGTCGTCTGTATGAGGCTTGCCTTGTCTGCAGCTTTGGGGATTTATGCCCTAAGCCCTATAAACCCTAACCCCTAAACCCTAAACCCCTAAGCCCTAAACCCTAAACTGGTGTTGAACCGATGCACGTTTCTAGGGCTTCGGGGGAAGCTCCCGGCGCTTTTGAAGGTATTGGGGTTGTGTAGTTTAGTGCTTGAAATTCAGTGCACAGTTTAGAGCATAGCCGCCTCAGTACTTCAATGACATGGTGCAGGAGGCTGTCGGGATACTGACACCATGAAGCACGGTAACAGGGCTCTTCCCTGAAGAACCAAAACATCCGATTCATGAGCATAGTCGTTGTCTTCCTGGGACTGTCGGACGACTCAAGGCATCGATTTGGGCCCTTGAGCTGGCGGCCTTCTGATCAGAATAGCGTCTTGGGGTACATTATAGCATTATTGCAAGGAGCCCGTATTGGTAATTATGCAGGCTCTTTTTTTTACCCATCTAAATGACTGCCGGCCCTAATGCGTTAGAATGTAAGCCGATAACCCCAAACCCAAAGCTCTGAAGCACGCCGTTGCAATGAAGTGGCCGTTGCCACCGTCCAGGGCAGGCGGCTGGAACGAGCCATGGCTGGCTGGAGTTGGGATGTAACGGGTCCTTGTCACAAATGTCAACAAATGGCTACGACAAGGACCACTTTCCGCTAATATTCATACCAACATCAGTATGCACATGTATATAGGAACCTTTAGGCATACTGTTGTTGATTGTGCAGGCTTCTATACTAGACGTTCACTGCCTGCCCGTTTATTTTCAAGACATGCACGTATGACTGGTTGCTGTAGTAGGGTTACCTTAACCCCCAAAAACCTACCTTTTTTAAGGACTTATATACAGAATTCATGATAAGGAACCCTAAAGAGGTAGGTTCTTTAGGGTCCAGGTAGCGTTTAGGATTTCGGGTTTCGGGCTTCGGAGTCTCGGGCTACTAAGTAGTTACAACGGCGGAAAACCTTGATGCCGTAATTCCTTCAGTTTGCCAGCGATTGGATACCTTTCCGGCACGTTTTCACCGCACAAATCGCTTACTTACTTCCTTAATTCTTCTCTATTGGCTCTGCCTTGAACCACATCGCGCAGATCATAATCAAAGAGGTGTAGCGGTGCAACACGCAACAACCATGCTGCCGCTTCGCTGAGTCAGAACTTGCAGCCACATTCCGACCCCGAGCCCCCGAAAATGAGCCCGAAGGCTGCAGATCTTTTCATCCGGAGCTCACGGTTGGACCCAGCTGTGTTGCCACGGCCTTAGCGCAATTGATTGTATTCAAGCTTAGGAAGGCTTCGGACTGACATGAGGAGTACCAGCAAGGATGAAGAACAGAAGAATGGTTCCGTGCGTCTGGGCACGCTGGACATGCAAGGAGTACCTTACACATGCCCTACTTAGTGACTTCAGTCCTATCTTGGTTGCTTCTACAATGTAGCGTGTGGGGTTTAGGGCAGGCCTCCAAGGCCTGTCGCCACAAACGAAGTCTTACATCAATTGAAGGAGCAGCAAATCTCCTCGTCTTCGTTCATTTTCCTAAGCCCTAAACCAATGTACTTCGAAGGAATAAAACCCGAGTGTAGAACAAGCCCACGGATCGGATGCTTTGGAGCAAGTCCGACGAGGAAAACAAGGTTTAAAGGGGGATTTACGGTATCAGCTGCAGAACAACCAAGCCTGGCACAAAACCCTGATGCCTCTATCATCTCGAGCAGCGACGGCTCAGAAACTAGACCCAAATCCTTCAGCCTAAATCCCAGATCTCGAAATTTATATGAACCTTTTCTACATCGACTCCCCGAAGCCGCGACCCCAAGACCTAAACCCACGCAGCATCTCATCCTTCCCCGACCCAAAGCCTGAAGAGCTCTTCGGGTTTAGGGTTTGGGGGCATGTGCCGGTCTTCATGGCTAAAGACTCGCTGCATTACCTCTCGAGCCCAGGGGTTTAGGGCCAGGGTTTCGATTTTACATAGTTCGGCTATCGTGAACCGAACCCTCTGAAACGCTGTCGACCTTCGGTTCAGAGTTCACTGCCTTCCGAACCCCGAACTTCCCAAACCCGACGCCCTGTGCTCTGAATAGTAAGCCCTACACCCTGAATCCTGTTTGGACTTACCCCTGAACCAGAAGCCCTATAGAGGCCAAAACCATGACTTTCGATCTTGAGTCCAAAAACTCGCGGCCCTCCGAACCCTTTCGGAAGCCTGACACCCAGAATACAGTTAGGACCCCCCCTTGCCTATTTTCGGCTATTGGCACCACCAGCCCCACTCCCTTGTAACATCCACCATCCCAACCCTAGAATACAATCTTAGGAATAATACCCGTATCTACCTGGTGCCATAGCCCCAAAATAGGCGAGAGGTTCCTCGTAGAATTTGGTTCAGGGTTTAGGGTTAAGGGTTGTATCAAGCTTAATCTTCTCGGATTTTCCATAAATGTTATAGCTCTAATGCAATTATAATATATAATTGCTTATGTATTGTAATTACATTATAACTATGCTGTTAATGGCTTCGAACGTTTATCTTTCTTTATTTATCCAAATTCCGTTTTCCTTCCATACCTGAAGTATTGTTTTGAATGTTGATTTTCTCAAATCTTTGTCGTTTGTAATTGTTTTACTTGCTTCTCTTAAAATACAGATATTCACATACAGTGAATCCATACCGCTGTGCTCGTTAAACTTGACTCCTACTGCCTTATGTAATTCTTTCAAAACTATTAATGTTTTCATACGGTTCAATAATTCCTTCTTCGTCTCTTCAACAAATACTGTGCCAAAATAGTTCAAATTTACTCTGAATTGTTTTCTCAACAGGCATTTGAACTCGCCACAAATTGAGTGCTACTTTCTTCCAAAATTTGTTTCCGCTTCGTGGTAGTGGGTTTTCAGTTACAAGTTGAATAATGTCTTGTGGTGTGGTTGTTCCTTCCAATTGCCAGTTCATGGCTCTATTGTTATTGTACGGCTTATTCTTTAAGTCACTTTCATTAGAAATATTACTTTCTCAAGATTTACTGGATCACGGTTTGTTTTGACACACTTATCCAAGCATTCAGAACAGGTCATAGCATATTTAGTATAACAATAAGAATGCTTGCCACCACAATGGCAACGCTTAAAACAATCAATGTCTTTGAATTGCTTACAACGATAACACTTCCTAGTAACAACATGAACTGTTTCAGCATATGGATCAAAATCAACTGATATTTTACTTACTCTTACTGGCATTAATATTATTATAAACATTTTTTCATAATGGATATTATGAAACTTTGCCCCGGTTCCTTAAGATTTAACGAAACTAATTATGAATTCATGTCATTTCCAAACTCTTATGGCTTGCCTATGAACCTGTAGAACCTGCTAGGCACACGGGGGCATTGGCTCACTTCCTTCTTCTGTTTTCATGGAACGGGCGCGTTAACACCAGCCGTGCGACAACTGTAGCGTTGAAAGGTACTCGTGTTATCGTTGTGTATATTAGGGAGAAAGTACATAACCTACAGGCTCCATAGTTTCCTTATCGTTGCGCTGTAGTAACTCGCCCAACCAACGAAACCCTTAACGCAAATTTTACTGGCATGCCTGTTCTCATTTTGAACTCTGGCGCATGCTGGGATAAGGTTTTGCCCTAGGCTGGATCTAGCCTTTTGGGTGTGGCGCCACAGCCACAAGGAAGAGGGAAACTCCTGTCTACCCAGGGCCTGCTCAGAAGCGCACGGCACCACGTCGCCAGCCAGCTCAGTTGCGCATCATCTTCCCACTTTTCCCTCGCATCGAATTGCCGTGCTTTTGGTAGCTTCTGGCTACTCGACGAAAGCTCTCACAACCTTCACTGTCAGGATCATCGCCACCAGCGCCTGCAAGGAACAGACATGCGAAAGATACGGTCGCGAACCAGCAAGAAAAGCCAGAGAGAGAGAAAGAGAGAGAGAGAGAGAGAGAGATGGAGAGAGAAAGAGAGAGAGGAGAGAGCAAAAAAAACAGTTAAACGCACATGGCTGAGCTCTATCAGATTGACCTTAGTCCAGCCACCAAGTAAATTCCGCCGACCCCTCCGCCAAAGAAAGCAGAGAGCCCGGACATCCAACTGATTGCCGATGCTTGGTACTTCCTGAACAGACGCTTGGCTCCAACATTTACGGGTCTAGTGCCTTGAGTCTACGGATTGTGTGCTACTTGGGGTGTGCAAGAACCAGAACACAAAATGCTAACAATCCGAGGAAGTTGCAAGGCACCAACGATGTCGTTGAGCGCGTTCACGATGCGGCTAAGGCCATAGAGGACCATGAGACTGCAGACCACCATCACAATCCGGTCGCTCATAGTGTTCCATCTAGCTGACGGGAGCAACCTTTCTAGGTATAACCATAACTGCTTGAGCCTGTTCGCTGCTCTGGGCGCGGCAACGGAACCTGCTCCGAACCCCCCGTTTTGGCCAATGACACCTAGATAGGTTGCTGTTGCTGGGTGTGAGGAGTGTAGCTTGGGTTGAATCTTGGGTTACATCTGGAGATTGGGTGTTTCAGGGGGTTTCAGGCATTTGGGTCTGGGGAGTGGGGTTCTGGAGAGTGGGTTTCAGGCATCTGGGTCTGGTGATGGGGTTCTAGAGAGTGGGTTGCTGGCATCTGGGTGGGTGGGGTGGTAGGGTGGTTGGTATCATAGCCTAAATAGGCAAGGTATGCCCTGACTAATACTACATTCCACAGCTTGAACCCTCGGCACCCTCAACTGCACACTCTAAAGCCCGAAAACCTAAGCCCTGAGCCCCAAATCCAAAACCCTAAGGCCCAAAAACCTAAGCCTTAAAGCCCCAAGCCTTAAACCCTAAACCCCTAAACCCGTAAACCCAAACCCGAAAAACCGCCAAACCCCAAGCCCCAAGCCCCGGTCTCCTAAAGCATACCGTGCAACCCAAGCCCCGGGGCCTCACGGAAAAGCTGGAGGTCGAGAGGAAGCCGCGGGGGCTCTGCACGAGGCGGCCGCAGGGCGCCCTCAAGTGGCTGGGCTCTTGGTAGGGGGATTCTATTTTTTTAAAGGTGCCGGAATAAGGAGACCCTATATGGCTAGGGGATTTTTAGTTAAGTTACTTTTATTTCAGTTACCATAAGAAAGACACCATATGTTTAGGGCATTTTATTTGAGTTACCATAATAAAGAAACCATCTTATTTACTATAGACCCCAATTATGGTAGCTTAAATACTTAGATAAAATCCCCTAACAAGAACCCAGGTGGAGGGACTTCGGGCTCAGGGCTGATAACAAGAAACAAAGTATAAAAAATGATAAGACCATTACCTACAGGTTGATACCAGCAATACTCAATAAGAGTGATAGTCATATGACAACAGCAGAAGAACATAAATATAGTGGTTGTAGAGAATTTACAAACGAGAAAATTATATCTAATGATGAATCATAAGCATCATAGTAGCAGTAGCTGTAGTAGTGGTTAAAAAAAGGATATGATTCTCACAAGACGGCCTAGGGGGTTTGCGGTTCAGACCTCGGATTAAGGTTAGCGGTTCAGGGTTTACCCTTAGCATCAAACTAGCCCAAAAGCCTCATAAAATAGGGTCTTTGGGCCCAAAAGTCTTAAACAATGAGTCCTAAACCCTAAACCCTAAACCCTAAGGGTTTAGGGTTTACAGTGTAGGGCTGACGGTTCAGGCTCAGGGCTGCGGGCTTTGCAGGGTTCAGAGTTCAGGGTTCAGAGTTCAGGGTTTAGGGTTCAGGGGTTTAGGGTTTGGGGGTTTAGGGTTTAGGGTTTGGGGGTTTAGGGTTTAGGGGTTTAGGATTTATAGGGGTTTAGGGCTCAGGGTTTAGAGTTTAGGGTTCAGGGCTTCGGCTTCAGAGGTCCAGGGGTGTAGGGTTCGGGAGCGCACTTACAGGTCCTGAGTTTTTTGAAAGCTGAAGGGCTCTTGGGATCTTGATCGTGGGACTTTTGAGGACTGATGGCTCACGGCGGACATGAGGGCCTGAATTCGAAAAAGAGGAAGAAACAAGAGTTTGCCGTTGCCTGGCTCTGCAGCACCTCTTCCTCGGCCTCCTTGAGGATGGCGCCTGCCTGATGGTTACGGTTGATGATATAAATCCTGCATTACCCATAATAAGGAATATACCGTAATTCCCATAGTTTGGGGTCCTTTAAGTAGTGATTTATATCATCAACAGTACCACTCTAATCTTAAGGAACCCTAAGCTTGGAATACTCTTCCTAAATAAGTACTCAGGCCTTGTATTCTGTCACCAGAACAGGGGCACTGGGTACCGGGGGAGAAAAGAGCCAACGAAACGCTGCGCTTTGGGCCAACAGTCAATCAAAACAATTGGGTTTAAGGCTTCGGGCACACGCATGCACAATATTAGCATGGCCGCGTGCGACGAAGAAGGCATCCGAAGAGTATCGCCCAAAGGCCATGTAGACAAGCATGACTAAACGGGATTCGAAGACGAACCTTCTAGAATCAGAAATATCGGGTACCCCTTAAACCCTAAACCACCCTGAGCCCCTAAACCCTAAACCACCCTTAACCCTACACCCTGAGGCTGAACTCTAAAAACCTGCGTGGCTGCAGGTAGGCCCATGGCCAGATCTCGAAGTTTCTCAGCCTCGAAGGGATTTGGGGTTTCCCTTCCGCAAGGAGCAGCTCCGGGTTTAGGGTTCAGGGTTCGGGTTGTAGGTTCATGGTGGCTGCAAACCCCTGGTCCGTACACTGCCATCTTTTCATCAAGGTTATACATACATACATACATACATACATACACACATACATACATACATACATACATACATACATACATACATACATATATATATATGTATAACGCGTATATATATATATAGATGTAATATTATACACATCGGAATCCGACTAGACGGAGGCGGCTCAATGGTGCCCTGTGAGCATCTGGGAGGTCGGCATCTTTCTCTGGCAGCTGGCGCAGCTGAGATGTGCATCGCTTCAGCCTCATGTGGGCATAGGCTAAGACGGCTAACTTCGGTGCATGTTTTCCGGTGCAGGGACCCTAACCCTAAACCCTAAAGCCTAAATCCTAAACCCCTACCCTAAACCCTAAATCCGATATTCTGGGGTTCCTGGCTCGATGCTCGGAAATTGCTCAAATTGCGAGGCCTCTGTCTGGCTGCACAACTCCTGTGCAGTACAAGAGCCCAACACTCTAAACGACGGAACCACGGTCACTAGTTTAAGGGCTTAGGGTTTAGGGCAGAGGGCAGCGCTGTGATCGCTTCTCTTTGTCGTCGGCGCGTCCCTGGACGGCCGCAGACCTTACAACATCCGCCTAGCATCTGCATGGAAGCGCTATGAGGCACGCATAAAGCATAAACCCTTGATGCGAAACCCTAAACTGCAATGACAAAACCCGAAACAACAAAAACATAAAACCCTAAACACTAGCCCTAAACCGTAATAACCAAACCTTAAGCCCTAGCCCCCACTTACAATAACAACCAGAATCATAGAGCCCTAAACACTATAACCCTGCCAGCAACAGACCCCAATCATAACAACAACCTAAACCCTCGCCGAGCCTTGGCAATATTAACCCTAATCCCTAAACACACACAGCCCGACGATAAGTACCCTAATCTAGAGCTCTGAACCCTTACTCTAACAAGAAAAGAAGACATAAAAAAAAGCCGGTTTTAAAATTTAAACACCGTGCAGTGCGTCAGGTCCGGGGATCGGGCAGCGACCGTACCGCGGTGCTGCGCACCGACATGCCTCGCTGTGAGGATCAGAGGAGTAAGTCAGATAGCTACGGGTCTGGGCACGACGTAGGATTGTTAGTTGGGTTTAGGGTTTAAGGTGTGGGGTCTAGGGTTTAGGCTTTAGGATTATCTTTCGAGTCCTGTTGTTAGCAGCCTCCCTGACGTCCATGCATTCACAGAACCAATGACAGAGGATGTTCTGCAGAAAATCTTTACCCCTAAACCCCTAAATCCTGAACCTTGAAGAGTTCATCCGGGTTTGGGCTTCAGTGCTCCAGCACCGACCTCGGCTTTCAGCTACGGACATCTGGATTACAAGCAAAGCATCATGAACTCCACGGGTACACTAGGTAATCTACGGGCCTTGACAATCAGAGCAGAGTTTGAGGTTTTCTGATACACGACAGTTGATGATATAAGTCCTGCATTACCCATAATAAGGAATATACCATAACTCCTGTAGCTTAGGGTTCCTCAGGTAATGCAGGGGTTTTTATCATCTAGAAATAATAAGGAGTCTCATGGACTAAACACTACAAGCTATTCCGACCCTCCGAATGGGTAGCTCTCTAAATTAGGGTCCCCTTTTTTAGGTCACCAACATGGTACAGCACCCTTACAACAAGGACCCCAACAGCGACCATTGGCCCTACCCATAGGCTCCTTAGTAGTTCCTTTTTGGGATCACTTTATAGGATCCTACATATTAGCCCCAAGAAAGGAACTACTATGGAGCCCATGGGTAGTTTGAAGAACTACCCAAGTTACACTGTGTCAAGAAAGAGAAGGTCGAGCCAACTGTGCACACTTTGACCTTTATTCCGGCGCGGCTTGAAGACCAGAACGTCGCGGTGGAGTGCGGAAACAGTCGGAAACGACCTGGTCGGATTCCAAAATGCGGAAACCTGCGCAAGAAGGGTTTATGCTGTTTTTTTTCTACCGGTCCTCTTAGAGACGAAAAGGATAACGAAGCTCCAACTTTTTGGAATCTACCATTGTATACCATGCATGATCTTGTGCCGCCGGCCAGAGAAAAGCTGCCGGGTCGTGTGCCCACAGCATCCCTCCGACCTAGTCTGGAGCCATCTGTATTTGCAGACCAGGCGGTTGGTTCCCAGATCAACAGGTTAGGGTTCAGGGGGGCTTAGGGTTTAGGGTTTGGAGTTTCGGGCTGAGGGTTTAGGGTTTAGGTGCATCTTCACCTCATCTCAGCCACAGGCAAGATGTCTAGGGACCTCGATACGCTGTCGAACTGGGAACTGACTAATTCTTCACTACCCATAGGCTCCTTAGTAGTTCCTTTTTGGGCTTACTTTATAGGATCCTAAATATTAACCCAAAAAAGGAACTACTATGGAGCCCATGGGTAGTTCTTGGCAACCCTGGTCCACCCAGTCGGCAGCCGGATCCTCTTCAAGGCAGGATCGACTCGGACCAGAATGCCAAACAGGTGAAACCTGGGCGCTGGGCTGCCGCTTCCACAGACCGCCGCCAGATTTCGCAACGTCCCAGACTGAATTCGATGCCGAAACAAATTGCTGCAGCAGAGCACTGGGCCTTACAATCTTTCAAAACGGTGGCCCGCGACACTGAGTAGTACGCCTCCGAGTTGTCCGTGGGCGACGTCCCCCGACAGGCCCGCCCGGACCCACCATCCACCGGGAACAATTTTTTTGTGTCCCATCCAAAGCGAAGACAAGTGAAACCACTGAGGGGCTTTGAGACGTAAATGCCCTGGGGCCTAGTCCAGATCTCACATCGATTGTTGCTGTACTCGATGCCTTTGCACCTTGGGTAGTGCTGAAGACAAAGATCCTTGCATTCCTCGATGCTCTTGCTGCCGTGCACCGTATAGTACACCCCCAAGTTGTCGTTGACGTTGCGACCACGGCACGCAGATTCGCCTGGGGCGCCAACCGGCTCCCATACAGCTGCAGCAGGCACAGTCACAGTCAACGTCGTAGTGCTTGTTTCCGTGAAAGTGCTTGAAGCCGTGGTGGTGTCACCGACATAGACGCAGGTTTGGCATGTCACTGCTTCCGGCTTGTAGTACCAGCCGCGTTGATCTCGGGTCCAGCAGCTCCTTGAGGCATTGGTGACTTCTGTCCAAGTGTAGCTCTGAAGCTCGCTCAAGTCGCAATCCCGACGCCCACAGACCGTCAAGGGCTCCGCAAGCACAAAGCCCTGGGGGAATCGCCTTTCCGGCCACAGCACGAGGGGACCTGCTGCCCTGGCAATCCCTGCGAAGTGGATGTCGGGCACTTCTCCGAATTCTCCCAGCACTCAGCAGACTGCAGGGTCGGAGTCACTAGGATGGGCGGTGAGCCCGGGCTTCGGCACTGGCAACAGTCCAATGCTTCGCCGTAGGCTCCCCGTCTCCACCAACCGTCACAACCTTCAGAATAATGAAACTGCTGGCAGTGCAGCGAGAATCCGGTGGTGCAAGCAAATGCTGTCCTGCAAGCTGGGTAGCTGTTCCGGAAGCAGCCGTGGTCGGTTTGCACTGGGGCCCTGATTGCTGATTCGGCCAGCGCTGGGACTGCCAGAAGGAGAATCGAGATCTTCATGGCCGGTAGCTGTCGGGGGAAGAAGCACTTTCAGCATACGTGGCTGACACCATATGTTCATGCTTCATCGATTAGCAGTACGAGTTCGTTAACAAACAAAGGAGTAAGGGCCAAATGCAACAACAACAACAACAACACCAGCAACAGCAACAGCAACAGCAACAGCAACAGCAACAGCAACAGCAACAGCAACAGCAACAACAACAACAAAAACAACAACAATAACAACAACAAGAACAACAACAATAACAACAACAAGAACAACAACAATAACAACAACAATAAGAACAACAAGAAGAACAACAGGAATAAAACAACAACAACAACAACAACAACAACAACTACTACTACTACAAACAACAACAACAACAACAGCAACAGCAACAGCAACAGCCACAGCGACAGCGACAGCGACACCGACAGCGACAGCAACAGCAACAGCAACAGCAACAACAACAACAACAAGAACTACCTCCTGTCCCAGGTCTCTACACACCAGCAGGCCGCCGTGAAAGAAATTGGCCGTTGTAGATGGGAAACGAACCCGGGTCAGTTTAAATTTAGATAACTGAGACCACCGGCACCTGCGTCCACTGCACCCTGCACGGCTTCCGTGCAGCTTGCCGGCGGTATAGCCGAAGCCACCTGGGTCAGACTCTCTGCGCTGGAATCTGAGCTTCGGGCGTTCAGGCTCACTTCGTTTTGTCGTGCAGGGGCAGGTGGCAGAACCATCAACGATGCAACGATGCGCACGGAGCTACTAGTAGCCATGTCGCTGCAGGCGCTTGTATGATTCGATGCCTCTATAATTTTCACATCCTTGGAATTATGGCAGAGGAATTGCAAAAGAACAAATGATTCTGAATCCTGTCCAGGCTGGTGCTGAGGCTGGTGAGGCCCAACCCACCGAGCCCCGCACCCGAAGCAAGGCCTCAGAAGCACGGGGTCTCGAGGCGATGTATATCATATAGTATATCATATAGTATATCATATAGTGTATTATATAGTATATCATATAGTGTATTATAGGTTTTGGCATTCCGAATCTTCTTTCGAAAGAAAGCTGACGTATGGTTTTGGGGCGTTGAAGAGTTTAGGGATTGGAGCCGCGAAGGCAGGCACTTGGCAAGACAGCTCAGGGACCTGGCATGCGAACTGAGCCAGAACATCTCTGCCCTTCATTCTCAGTGAGATGCAGGTAGAGGGCTCCGACTGCGAGCCAACCGCTGTAAGCGCGTCGGTTGCAGGAAGACAGGAGGAAGCACCAGAAGAGCAATGCTGACGATAACAGCGACAATATCAATACGACTAAACATATCAATGGCGAAATTAAGGAGTTATAGTTACAATCAGAATAACAACAATATTGAAAACAATTAAAACTACAACAATAGTCGTCATCATCATTTTCATCATCATCGTGACTTTCATAGTTCGAAATAATGACAATGATACTGCCACAGGCGCATCAACCACAGATCAGCGAGTCGCTGTCGTCGTCGTCGTCGTGAGCAGGGTCGCAGCACTCGAACTTCCCATAACAACACTCGTCACCCTCTTTCAGGACAGATACTGTTCATGCCTTCAAACTCGTCAAGGTTGTCATGTGCTTGAACATCGCCACCACCATCATCCTCTTGCCCACGGGCACCTGCGGCTGTAGTCGTGCACTCTGTGCATGATTCCATGACAATCGTCTTCCTCGTTTTCGTCATCACAACGCTCGCACTCGTCCCATCGTTGTGAGTGCCATGACATCAAAAAATAGATCAAGCTTCTGGTAAATGGGAGGGCCTTGACATTGATCCGCACTTCCGCAAGAGCCTTGTGCAACGCAGCCATCTCAAACCCTTCTGTGCCTGTTCACTTCTCTCTCTCTCTCTCCTTTCTCTCGATATCGTTGCATACATTTTTTGTGTCTTTCAACCATCGCTCCTCATACATGCTCGAAAGCCTCCAAAGCTCATGCCATCAGACCTTCATCCTAGAAGTCCTGCAGACCTGAACCCAGCGAAAACCTCCCCAAAATCACGGACTGAAGGGGCCTTCATACGTAGAATAGGATGTTGGGGTAAATGAAACGTACTACAACGTACAACAAGGAACCCCCCAAAGTGGCTTAATATGTAGAACCGGATGTTGGAGTACATGAACGTACTAGAATGTATAGCAAGGAACCCCCAAAATGACCCAGACTCCTAAACCCTAAACCCTAAACCGTGTTTCCGGCTCAGTCCCCAACATGCTCCAGGGCCGCACGAAGCAGCGGCGAGGAGTAGCCAAGCTCTGAGAAGGCTCCAAGCAAGGAGGCAACCTGTCAGCGGGTTTAGGGTTTAGGGCCCTAAACCCTAAACCAGGGTTCAGGGTTTAGTATTTAGGGTTTAGGGCCCTAAACCCTAAACTTCAACATTTTGGGGTTCTGGGTCTTCGGGCTTAGACTGGTAGCCATATAAAGCTTGGAACATCGTTATCCTCATGCCCTTAAAAGGTAAAGGATGTAAGCCTGGCACATATCACGCTAAGTCGTCCATGTTTCAACTCTCTGGGGTTCACTCTAGGGTTCCACAGTTTTGGGTTTTGCTCTTTAGTCTGTGGGGCTTTAACTTGTATATGTGGGCTTCAGGGTTTAGAGTTTTAGTAAGGTTTTGCGCCGTAAGGTTTCGGGGTTACGTTTAGAGTTCAGGGTCTAATGAGGACGTGCTATTGAACGCGCTAGAGGTGAGACAGCGAGTCTCTCCGCCAGGCGTGCACTTGGATTTAGGATTCAGGCTGTAGCGTCAGCGAACTGCAGTCAAAATGAAAGCAGCAAGCTCCAATATCCAATGTCCCGAAACAGCCAAGAGGGCCACACAATTCCCGGTCTGGATGCCCAACCCTACAGACAAAGCCCAGGCAATAGGTGATACCCTCTAGAAGAGTACGCCTAAATGAAGACCCTGCCTGCCCCATGCTAAGCCGCAAGCCCTTCAAGACCCTTAAGTAAAGCGCGATAACACAAAAAGAACCCTAAGCTTCCTACCCTATCGGTTCCTCTGAAACTCAGAAATTTCGTTGATTCGCAAAGCCGGGCTCGAGGCCTCGGAAGGAGAAAGTTCGGCATGGCCTGTGCTGTTGGGCTTGGTGTTAGGGTTTCGGGGTTTAGGGGTCGTTAGGGTCCCTAAACCCTAAGCCCTAAACCCTAAACCTTAAACCCTAAACCCTAAGCCCTAAACCCTAAACCTTAAACCCTAAACCCTAAACTCTAAGCAGGTTCAGGGTCTACTTTGAGCAGAGACAAGGAGTCCCTGGGGTCCTTACTTGCAGGATTTCGAGTGTCGGGGCCTTTAAGGTGATATAGGGGCCTTAGTATTCAGGTTTTAGGGTACATTATGATATTCCCAGGGTTCCTTTGTGTGATTGGCTGTATATATATATATATACATATATTTATTTATTTATTTATTTATTTAGTTATTTATTTACTATCACAGTAAGGAACCCTAGGAATAGTAGCTTAAGCTTCTTATGATCTGTCTCGTAGGATTGCCATAGGCCTTGTAATGGATCCCCCGAGGCCACGTTGCAATTTCAAGAGGGTTTCGGGATCTGATTGACTAAATCAGAATTCCCAATATAGTACGGCCCCCCGTGCAAAAAAAAAAGGCCACCAAAGGGACCGTAATTTAGAGAACTACCCATGTATGTGGTATCTTGTCTGGCTTGTACGGTCAGCGCCTGTGGTTTTGCCATCAGGTTCATGTGAGGAGGATGCGCTCACAACCTCCAGTGCAGGACTGCAAGTAAATGCCAAGTGCTAGACCCAAACCTCAATCCCGAGAGCATCAAAGCAAGAATCCTCAACCCTGCGTTTTCAACCAACCCCGAACGGCGGCTGTTCTGGATAAAGCTTGAAACAGTCTGATCAGAAGGAAGCAAGAGAGCTATGGCTTGTCCATGAAGGCCCTATGAACCCAGTAGAACCCGAGTACAACCTTTAATGCACTCGGGATCCGAAAACCCCAAACCCTAGCCTAAACCCTAAACCATGGACCATGAACCCTAAAAACCCCAAAACTCTAAATCCGAGACCCCTGAACCCCGACACCCTCTTTGCACGTCCGAGCCGAGCTGCGCCGGCCCTCGCAGAGCCAGGCTGCCGTTCCCTGGAGCAAGGACTCGTCGCGCCAGCCCTGGGCTTTGGTGGCGGTGGCTTGAAGCTCTATTAAAGGGTACATTTTAAGGGAGCTATAAGGGTTGCTTTAAGGGCTCCTGCAAGGGGTGGTTCTAGGGGTCTAGGATTTAGAGTTTTAGGGTTTTTAGGGTTCAGGGTTTTCGGCTAGGGTTTGGGGTTTAAGGTTTAGGGTTTCGGGTTTTAGTGTTGAGGGATGTAAGTGTAGGGTAGGGGGTTCAAGGTTTAGGGTTGAGGGGTGTGGGTTTAGGACTTTAGGCTTTAGGGTCTAGGGGGTCTCGGGGTTTTGGAGTTTCGGGATTCTGGGTTTAGGGATTCTGGGTTTGGGTTGAACGGAGATCTGCTTGAACCACTCGTCTACTTTCGCCAAACACTGGCTGCCTTCGTGTGCTGCCGCCACAATACGCTGAACGAGCCATGTCTGCATTGCGGCTGCGCAGATTTGCCTCACATACTTTTTCAACCTTCCTGAGCACACATGAAGCACAAGCCCACACCTTATAGATCCCTTTAAGGAGACCCTAACAAGGGACCCTAATTTAGAGAGCTACGGTTGATTGGGCCCTGGAATCTGCCACCTCAGTGTGAACCAGGCTGGCCAAGGCTAAGGCCATCTGGGCACAGCCTTGTACCAGCTGCAGGCACTCCTGCTGCAGGAGATGCGGAGAAAGACGTACTGCACTTGCAGGTACCACGTGCCAACCAGCCCCGGCCTCCGTGCCCGCTACTTGGAGGTGCATGGGTAGTTATATAACTATAAGTGGGCTATAAGTAGGGTGACTAAAATTACAGCCCATATTTGCGGATTTCCCACCCACCACTTCTACTACCCATGAACCTCCAAGTAACCCTAAACCCTAAACCCTAACTGTTGCGGACACCCTCTGCCTGGCGAGTCACATGGATCACGGCAGGTGCTGCTTCATCGGCATCCTGCAAAGATGGAGATCTCAAAGCTGCTGTCGGATGAAAAATGGTAATGTGGTGAAAGGCTATAGGAACAATCAGGGTGCATTGCTACGATTGGTATTATAAGGCCTAGAATATTAGAGTTCAAGAGTTTGAGGATGTGGAGCCATTCGACAAGAAAGATGGAATCAGACCGCTTCTTTTACACTGTACAGCCGATAAAAACTGCCGGGACCCACACACGCTTGACCTTCTCCCTCCCCGGCTTGTCCTCGTCTACAGCTGCGCTCGTGGGGGCAGGCGCCTAGGAATAGAGGCCACAGCAAGTTGCCACATGGGCTGTTCTGTACAGTACTGAAAGCAACGTAGAACATGATGGTTGGGGATCTCCAGGAGCTCTAAAGTTCTAAAGTCCTCAATCTGCACAAGATGAACGACGTTGCTCTAGACAATGATTTCTTGTTTGGGGAGTCCTTCTGAATACTGGCTACTAGAACCTTGGACCTAGCATAGCTGCCTTGCGCCCTTACAGTCCTACAGGAGACCCTTCCGCCCTTCTAACTATGGAGCATCTGTTTAAATATGCTCTGTCCGGAGAACGGAGGAACAGAGGCTTGTGCTGGGCTGCCGGCGACAGTGACCCCTGCTTCTCTTGCCCGACGTCGGAGGCGAAAGTGTCGCTGCCTCTGGGCCGGGATGACTAACTCAAAGAGCTTTGTAGCAACAGCTCCCCCCATCTTTGAAAAGCAAGGATTGCTGGAAGCCGGGTGCTTTCCTAAGGCTGATACTGGAGTGGAGGGTATTTCATACCATGATCAACTGTGGTAGTGCTACATTAATGCCCGTTCAGACTCCCAAGTCCACCCCTACCCACTAAACCGGCACACTGCCCGGAAGCAGCCTCAGCTGCTCCCACCAAAAGTCGTCCTGCAAAGCAAGGGAAGCGGCAGCATCGGTGCAGCGTCTCATGCAACGCGGAAACCGAAAATCGATAGCAATACCATGCCTTAGGGTTCCTTCTTATTCTTATAAGCATAATATATCATACCACTTCCCCCCCCCAAACATAAACTACTCTCACTGTAGTTAAAGCCCTTCCATTGCACGCCGCCTCTCCACCAAACGAAGAACCCTGGTCCCCCAAGCCTCCGAGGAAAAGCCCCCACCCTGACACCACATCAGCCCTTACACCCCCCCTTAAGAAGGATCCTTCATAGTACCCCTATAGAACCCCTTTAAAGGAACCCTTCTAGGGTTTGGGATTTAGGGTTTAGGGTTAAGGGTTTGGGATTTAGGCTTACGCCCGAAACCCCCAAGCCAGGCGAGAAGCTCAAGACCAAGACTGCACACAAACACATCGGCCTTTTCAGTTTGCGCCGAGTTTAAAAGTTGGGGTATAGTAGCAAAGTATCGGAGCCCTCAGGAATAATCTTACGTAGTCATTCTTAGGCTTCTGATTCTATGCGAGACACACTGAACCTAAAGTTGTTCGGCAGCCCGAATCCTCGGGGCACGACCTGTACCCCTAAACCCGAAATTACGGAAACCTATAACAAGCTCATATACGGATATAATATATATATATATATATTTATGTAGAATATACACAGATACTGACATATAAATATATGTATATACACAGGGCGAACAAAACATATAACTCTAAACCCTAAACCTCCCAATCCCTTTGACCTTCATAAAACGCCGCTCCTTGGCTCGAAACATGCGGCCGTCTTTGGGCAGCTTGTACCTCGCCAGCCGTATAAAGGGCCAGGATCATGATACCTAAACCCTCGTTCTTAAGTTAAGGNNCCTTAACTTAAGAACGAGGGTTTAGGGTTTAGGGGTTTAGGGGTTAGGGCTTATAGGGCCCTTAAGAACGAGGGTTTAGGGTTTAGGGGTTTAGGGGTTTAGGGTTTTAGAAACTTGAATACAAACTGGGGTATCTTTACGGTATATACGTGTCGGGTTGTTTTAGGGAGTTGTCGTGCCACTTAATTACGACGCCTGTATAAGTCGCCAAACACAGCAGTAGCCACAAAACCTAAACGCAAGATCAGATCCCGAGGTGATGATGATGACGATGATGATAATGATGATGATGATGACGGTTGCGATCAAGACTGCTAGGTTTTGGGCTAAAGTAGAACTCCTAAGCTCGAAAACAGCGACGAAAAAAACGACAGACATGCCACGAAGCCATAGTTCCTAATCTCTAGAACTCCTGAGACTCTAAACCCTGAACCTTATAAGCCAGAAACCTTAAACCCTGAACCCTAAGCCCAAAAGCGAGAACCTCAGCAAACGACAAGGCTCAGGCGCCCCGGGCTTTGTGAGCAGCTGAGACATTGTCGTCAGCCTCGGAATGTTGACTTTACCTATCTGGGTTGTAGTTTTGGGGCCCTGAAAAGTATTTATGAATACGTGCCTCTATCGAAACCATAAGGGAAATTTTAAAGTTTCCCAAATTGCCACCTAGCTATAGTTTCCATTGTAGTGCCTTTTTGGTTTAAGACTTGTGAAATTTAGGATCCTAAGGTAGATGATATAAATCCTGCATTACCTTGAAGACTCTAAATTATGGGAATTAGGGTATATTCCCTATTATGGTTCAATGCAGGATTTATATCATCAACCGTATCAGGTAACTCAAATTCAAGGAACCGACAAGGGATACTGTAGGTGGAGACCCCAGCCCGAAACCAAAGCCAAGCACACGTGCCAAGGCTGCAAAGGACGAGAAGCTTTCACAGGCGCTCTGGACCCGAAAGCCCAAATACCGAAGATCCTGGGCGAGCTCCGGACATTTTGTGCTCCATCTCCTCTTGGTCACCCTGCAACAGCTGAGTGCTAGGATACTGCTACCCGGCGCGGGTGTGTGTGTGTGTGTGTCTGTGTGTGTGTGCGTGTGCCAAACTAGGGTCCGTTTCAGGGCCTGGCGTAGGGCAAAGCCCAGGAAAAGGATGTGAAACGGAACAACACCAGGCTTGAAGGAACCGCGTACCGCTTGACTAAGGAATATACACAGACATATGTATATATATATATATATACATATATATATACACATATATATATATATGTATGTATGTATGTATGTATGTATGTATGTATGTATGTATGTATATACACACGCATTTGAATTAGGCATTTCTTTATCTAATCTACTCTACCAACCTACCTATCTATCTATCTATCTACTTATCTACCAATCTAACTATCTATCTATCTATCTATCTATCTAGCAAACTACCCATCTGTCTATCAATCTACCTATCTATCTGTCTGTCTGTCTGTCTGTCCATCTACATATAAACCTATATATATATATATAGTTGGAATACTGATGTCCCGAAACTTCAAGGTATATTCTACAGCTTTCGACAGCAAGCAGAAGAACAATATATCAACAAAATCAAATATGACGTTGTATTGCAACGGCACGTGCCGCGCATACGAGGCATTGCGATAGAGAACAGAGCAGCTACACTATCTTCGGCCTGTGTTCTTTCACGGTAACTTATACGCTGCAACCAACTTCTCTCGCATTAGGCATCCTGCTTTCCCAAGTGGTACTTTCACTTCTCGCCTTTGTCTCAAGATGCCTAAACTTCTCATAGTTCTCGAGATACCTCACAAAGCCGCGCCCTGACACCAACATGAAGATCGCGGTACTGATAAAGATCACCTGCAACACAAACCGAACCAAACACCTGATGGCAACACTTTTTATTTTCCTCTAGCAAGCACCTCTGCTGGATGCCCGGCCAGGGCTGTCGGCAAAGCACACCTGCAAATGACTCAGGAGTCAAGAGCTTCGTGGGAGAAGCACTGGAAGACAGAAGCTGCTGAGAGCAGAGGGGTTTCCTGAAAGGCCTCCTACACATCACCCCATGACCCTCAGAAAGGCCCCTATATATCACCCCATAACCCTGATAAAGGCCCCTATAGCCCCTTCGTAGTACCTCTAAACCTTGAATGGCAACAGCGACAGCAGCCAGGCATAGCGGTGACCGAGATTCAGTAGCAAAAGGGGCCCTCTAATAGTTGGAGGCTCCTTTATAAGGGCTACGGGTGAATGCTTATAATAGGGGGCCTTTAGAGGCCATGGGGTCATGTCTCGGGGCCGTTGAGGAAACCGCCCCATCCCTAAAGCCCTAAACCCTGCCACCCCCAAGACCCGAAACCCGCTTCCGCCGTATCTCGGCCGTCGGCAAAGCGCTGGGCGTACAGTCCGCCAGCTCGAAGTGTCGCTGCATCAGATGTGCTCGCCTGACTAGGGCTTTAGGGCCTTTGAAAAGGTTTAGGGTTTAGGGTTTAGGGGCTTTTGAATTTGAAGGGGCAGCTTGTTGCTGACAGTTATAGGATTTAGGGTGTTAGTGCAGGGACATGCTTTTGGAAAGAAGCTTATCCTGGAGTCATGCAGAGATATCTCTTGGGTTCTCCAGACAGCAAATTCAGGTATGACGCTGCTCTGGAGAATTCACCAGGACTGCGGCAACGGCGCAGATGCAGCCTTTAGAAGGCTGAGATCGCGCAGCATCGAGATCTGGCATTGGAAGAGTGATGCCGAAGAGCTTAACCTACTCCTACCATGTGGTAATCACAAAGTATGAAGCAAGCATTGAGCATAGTTTACGGATGCTGAAGTTTCCACATGAAACGCAGCACCGACAGCTCTCCTCTCGGTAGCTGATATGTGACCGAAACAGTTGCAAAACTGTGCCGTCAACTCGCAGGACTACATCTGTGCTGATGTTCGCAGTGGTTCTCTCGTAGCTAGAACATGGTTGTGAAGAGACCAACTTTGCCGAAGATGCCAAGTGCTCTGCGTGGTACTTGTACGGCCGCTCGTTCACAGCCGCCTGGCACGCGAGCACTGGACGGATCGCCAGGAAACTCATCTGAGAAATCCAGAGTACGTATCCTTACAGTTGATTCAGAACAGTGTCATCTAGAATCTAGAGAATTTAGATCTTGCGAGTTTCCGGAATGTTCCGGCATGCAGTAATCTTGTGCGGAGAACTTAGGGAAGAGCACAAGGGCCTTCGGGTTTTCATCTAGGGGTTTCTAACATTTCGAGCTTTGGTTAGGGTTTTGCTGGCCTCCACGTGCTGAAGGAACTCTGCTTCTTTCTGGCCCGCCTGCGGCAAACAACGTGCCAACAGAAAGCGTGCTGACAACAAAGGTGCAAAGGTGAAGGAAGACCATGACAACGAGTAACAAGGACATGGAAAAAGACCCAAGCCACCCCATGCGGCTACGATGAAGCAAGGGCGAGTTTTCAACATCAGGAGGCCTTGGCCACCGCTGCCAGCACGTCGCAGGTCATCTTTGGCGACAGCGCGCTAATGTTGGGAAGCAACCTGAAGTTCCAACTCGCTTAGAGTTACGGGTTTAGGGTGGAGAAAGAAGGCCGCCTGCTCAGCAAACAAGCAATATCGCACAGCCAACGGTCCAACCATCAAAGCTGCTGCCATCACAAAAGCCATAATCCTTCACAGCCACTACTGCGACGGCCATGGTGCTTGCGGCAAGCGTTGCTGAGAATCATGATGAGGATGATGACCGTGGCTATGCTGATTCTTGATTTTTCACAAGTTCTTGCAGTCACGGAACGGCAGCTGAATTTGTGGATGCTCGCTGACGGAACTGTCGCGGTTCAGTGCTGTGGCGATTGGCTCTAGACCCGGCAATGCATCAAGACTGAGCCCTGCGCTTCTTCATCAAGACCAAATAGATCTGGCATGCAAGGACATGGTGCGCTTGCCAACTACGAACACATGCAGGCAGCGAGAAGAGTGTAAATCCAATAGCCGCACTTCCTAAGAATGTTGTGGATACTTCCTTCCTCTCGGTGGACCATGTCTGCAGCAGTGTAACATGGCGCGTGGCACAGGCTCATTGCCAGATGCATGCCCTCAAGAAAGTACTAGGATCAGACGGATGTATCGGTTCATTCTGTCTCCCGGCTTCTCCGGGCATTCGCAAAACAATCGGCCCCATGTCCCTAATGTGCTTCGCCTTCCAGGCCCTCACACGGTGGAAGATGTCTTTCGGCTTGACGTCCAGAGTGGCAACTCAGATTTCAGAGCAGTCTTGGGCGAGTATGTCCTTTCAAACCTCAGGGGAGCCTGTGCAGGCAGGCCATGTCAGGCTGGAACCTACGTGCAAGGAATAAGAAAGCCTCTCACGGTTTCATCAGAATACAGGAGCAAAATAGGTCGAGCAGATGTTGCAAAGCACTACCACTGTCACCAACTGTGAAATCATCCCCAGACCACGACGCATCCATCGGCAAGGATGGCAGCAAATTCACTCAAGGAGGCATGGATCTACTGCACATGGTTCCTGCTGCTGATGCTACACAGCACTGCTATCATCGCCATATCCAGCATAACCCCGGATCACTATACGGATCCATCGTCACGAACTTCAGAGATGGGATTGGTGCTGCACTCAGTCAGGGAAAGCGATGGGGAGAGCAAGGGGGCCGCCCCCCCCCGAACAAGCAGTCGGGTTTTTTTTGGGGACCCGGCCGGGCCAGGGGGCGAGATGTGGTGGAGGCAACGGTAGTAGGGAGGGTGTGGTGGATTCGAAGAGTCGTCGTGCTGCCGAAGCAGCTTCTTTAAGCTTATCCTCGACTTAACCATGCAGACGGCCCCATGTGGATTTCGCCCTTGGGTGTCGTACATGCAATCAACGTCTCCGCGGCCCCCTGGACAAGGAAGGAATTCATGGCACTCACCAGGGTCAGGGGGCTTCTTAAACAAAACTTGGGTTCGGGTTGGGCTGGGGATTCACTTCTTGTAGAACTCAGGGTGCAGGATGTATGAGTGTAGGTGCAGGGTTTGTCTTGAGGTCTACAGGCCATGCTGCCCAAAACAAGCCTTAGACCCTCTTAAGCCCGAATGCCCCAAACTGTGAACCCCAAACCCTGCACTGTACATCCAAAATCCAGCGGGCAGCAGCAATCCTACAAAATGAGCCTTCGAAATTCCCTTCTCCACGAAAGTAACGAACTGTGAAAAAGCGGTCAGCCACACGAGTGTTGAAAGCACGAATACTCCGCAGCTCCGTATCCCCTGCGCGGCTGTATAGACCTGACTGACAGCTCGACAGCCGATGTGACCAATCCTGAAACCACCTGCGAACTCGCAAGTTCAGGCAGTATGATGACGAGGATACCTGCCACCGCCGTGGCGTCGATTGCTGCTGGACGATGCGGACGACAACCCAGACTACAGCGACACCCCGCACTATCACAGGAGCAGCAAAAGCAACTACTGCAACGAGTTGGCGACTGGGTGTAACCTCTACACCCGATACCCCAACCCCCAAACCCTCTATAGATAAGTAGTGCTGTAGCTGCCCCGCAGCCCAATACTCTCAACCCTAAACTCTAAAAGCCCAATACCCTAGTACGAGTAGAACTGCGGTTCGAACTACGCCCCGACCTGTGGAGTCAAGAAGGAGATCGTCCGAGGAACGCTTCGGATCTCAGGGACGGACAGTCTAAAGGCTTTATAGGAAGGTGTTGTGGCGGTTTGTAGTTCTAAACACAAGGGTTCCAGGGGTCTCATTAGGATTCGTACATGTGCACTTCAAAGCCTACTTGGAGGTTCTTGGGAAGTTAGAAGTGGGGTTGTCTAAGTAGGGCAGCTGCAATTTTAACCCATATTTGGGGACTCATAACCCTGCTTGTAACTATCCATGAACCTCCAAGTGAGGGTTTCATAGTTTGACAGTGCCTCTATTGGGTCTCATTAGTTGAATAGGATCTTTTGTGGGTGTTATATGCGAAGGTCCGAGCTGGGGGGGTGCTCAAATTCACGTTACCTTATTCGAGACGTCCTGTTCGTAATGATATAGGTACTTGAGATTTATTACTGTGATCTGCTGGGGTGAGCAGTTTAAGGCGAAGCTGATTGTTTGCTGAATGCCTGCGCCCTCCACTGCCGCAGCCAGGTGAGGCAAACAAAAACAATGAGGGGCCCAAGTGATCTCACGTGAAGCCATCGGCTTGTATGGCATATCTACTGTCACAAGAGCTGCAATGCCCTTGGTCTTCATGTTGTTGATGATGCTACAAGGAAGCTTGTGACGATTTCACACTGTGAGAATAGCAGCAGCAGCAGCAACGACAATTAAGAACAACGACGACAACTGGACAACGGCAAGTTCTCGAGAACGACCAGGACGAGGACGAGGAGGACGATGAAGGCTGCGACGACGACGACAACAACAACAACCACAGCATTTCATTCACTCGCAGCGGGAAAGTCTTCGATTGTCTCTGCTAGTTAGCCTCGCTTCGCGACGACTCAGCTTAAGCTACGGTCCCTCGGGGAGTTACTCCACCTCTTTGGCTTTTCTTTGTCTGAACATACAACTCACTGGTACAAAGCTGGGCAGCTCCCCGTCCCTAAAAACAGCAGGAGCTTGGATTGTCTATCCAACCTTACTAGAATGCAGAGTGCTGGACATCGCCGATATAGTGCAGGCCGTGCCTAAACACAGCACCTGCTGAGGCCCCGCCCCTAAAAGCAGCAGGCTTACCATGTTCCACTGCGATGCCTGAGTGACAGATGCTGCTCGTCTGTCCTAGCGATGCTCGCTGAGGTTCAAGCCGAGGGTAGGTCGTCCTCGGAAAGACTCGATTTAGTCCCGTCCCCGTGCTAACAACTCTGAAGGTTTGAACTGTGAGCGCTTGGGACTGGCTAATTCAGGCACTTTTCTGATGTGAGTCACTCAATCAGCTGTGTGCAAAAATTCGCCTGGGAAAAGCAAGCGCGGCAAAATGCCACTGACCGACTGCTGTTTCCTTGCTAGAGTCTGCCGGGAGTATCTCCTCGGGCTATCTCAGGGAGTTACTCCACCGAGAGGACAGGTTCCTAACAGACGACTAGCTGGAGCTGCAGGTCAGCGTGCTGCAAAATTCGCCCTGAGAGTTTCTCCACTTGGCAGATTCAAGCGTGGCAAAATGGCAAAAACGAGAACCGGCGGCCGCGTCCTTGCTGGAATCCTCCGGGAGTATCTCCTCAGATGCCCTCAGGGAGTTACTCCACCAGAATCGGAAGCTTGAGAAGCGCAACAAAGCTGCAGAGGTGCGGGCTGGCTGAAGGTGCAAAGCACGCTAACAGACTGCAGCCCGGCTG